GAAAAGGAAAAAGGAAAAGTGGGGGGGGGGGGGGCGTTGTCGGAGAAGACTGTGGGGGGAGGCAGAGGAATTTGAGTTGATTTTTTGATTGAGTTTTTAAGAAAATGAAAATGAAAAACTGAAGGGGGGGAGGGCGTTGTCGGAGAAGACTGTGGGGGGAGGCAGAGGAATTTGAGTTGATTTTTTGATTGAGTTTTTAAGAAAATGAAAATGGAAAACTGAAAACAATTTTCAATTGTTTTCAGTTTTGTTGAGTTTTTAAGAATAAAGTAAAAAACGTTTTCATTTTCTGTTTTTTAAGAAATGCTGCCAAATGGCTTCCTCAGAGCATTTTCAGTTTTTGGTTCTTGGAAAACGTGAAAAACAGAAACAAAAACAGAATCAAACAGGCCCTTAATTTCTTTCCCATGTGGGAATTTTAGCCGAAAAGAATGAATCAAAATGAAAAAAAAAAAAAAAAAAAAAGGTTTATAAAGGTATATTCATAGGCAAAAGTTAGCTCGTCTATGATCAAGCTACTTAAATATAGTTTCAAGCACCGCATGAAATCAACTAGATTAATTTTATTCCATCAATGACAGGTCAACATAAAGACACATTACTTAAAGAAAGAAAAAAAAGTACACGTTATTCGAACCATGTGTTGGTAAAATACTTTAACATATTTATTGTAAGTATTCAAACGTAAATATCGAAAAATAACACCTTGAGGAACTCAAGGGTAAAGCTCAATGAGAGATCTCACTCCTAGTTTTCGATTGATTTTATAGTGACTGAATCCGGCACTGAAAAAGAGCTTCTCCCATTCCCTTAAGTTACGCTCTTTGCCGGAGAAGCTGACCATCATTATCATGTCGTTGCACAGTTGTATTCCAGTTATTTCATCTGTATTCTTGCTGTCAATGACGGTTTCAATAACAATGACTTTTCCTCCTTTCTCATTTTTCAAAATTGCTTCTCTACATTTCTTCAAAATTGCAAGGCTTTCTTCGTCATTCCAGTCATGCAGTATCCACTAGTGGAGACAAAACAATAACAAGTGTATTTAGTTTACAAGTAAAGAAATAAGGTCTATATCTAGGATATTTTTAAAAGAGTAAACAGATAAAATGTGTTAAACGACATAATATGTCCATGTCATGTTTCAGATATTTATGGCATGTTTGGTGAATAGGTACAGAAGGAGGTGGCTTTAACTGATTTGAACTTTTGGTTCAAAACATTGAAAATTAAAGGTGTACTTTTTTAAAATATATAATTCTCTATTTATTTATTAAATTGTTTTGTCTAATTTTTTTATAGCGCTCCCACTGAAAATATATTTTTCAGCTTTGCCACTAGCTTGAGTAAAATTAGCTAGATAAGATGGAAGAGTACAACAATTCGATAAAAACGCACAACAAATTTTTGTTATACAATTATCCTTACGGGAATTATGTTTACAGCCCACGTTTTTGTTAACGCACTCCTAAATATTTAAAATTTAAAATTATTTTTTTAATTGTAAAATCTCATAATTCAACGGCTACCCTTATATGTACACTTCATGCTTAAATCATTGAGAAATATATAATAATATACAAACACACACTTTTTAGAATAAATCTTAGACCCCTTTTCTTCTTTATTTCAAAAAGAAAAAAAAAAAAAAAAAAAAAAAAACCATACACCCCTTTCACCTAGAAATTGATTACACATATAATGGAGAACCATTATGATGAACTTAATTACACCTAGTTTTGACGCCTGGTGGCATTCTTTTCGTTTAATTATCGAAAGCATTGATGGATGGCAAAGCAAACATCCAAGGATTCTTATATTGTAGCGTTCTTCTTGTTAGTTTTCTAACCAAAAAGTCCAGATTTTTTTTTCGTCATCAATTTCATCATCGCACTTAAATGCATTTATGATTACCAGGTTTTGTATTCCATTCTTCAATTACAGATAATATATATACGGGCAAAGAGATATGTGGTCGTCATATGGAAGATGATTGGATTGTATATAAGGGTATAAGGAATGATAAGGGATTTAACATTAAAATGTAAATAATTTCAAATTAAAATGAATATATATTTATTTGGGGCGCTTTATAAAAATTTAGGGTGTTCATAAAATTTTCTTTATCCTTATCCTTAATAACACTAAAGATCCAACTCTCCTGTCCACTTCTCAATGTCCCCTTTTCAGCCCGTCGCTTCAATAATATTCATACCACGTAATTAACATGTCATGTCACATCATTTAAAATTTACATGTCAGTATAAACTTGTTTTTAATGCATTTAAACTTAATAAGATTAAAAAGTTAACGTAACATTGTTTTTCTTTTCCTTTCACACAGTATCTTTCATTTTAGGGTTAAAAAATTGAGATTATAGTGTAGTGGGTATCACCGCCTCTACACAATTCCCATGAGCAAACATGTTAATTAGGTGCAAATTCATAATTATAATATGATAAATTCATAAAAGCGTAAAAGCCTACCAAAACCCAGATCTCTATGATCGAGGTATGAAAGGGAGGAAACAGGATGAAGACAAAACAAGTAGTTAATTTTTGTAGATAGTTTGTGTGAAATATTTTGTGTTGATGACTCTCAGTATAGGTAGACAAATTTTTTTAAACTTTTGCCGTATTGATACCAAGTAGAAGATATGTCTGACTTTTAATTAGTGAGTGGGCGAGCTTTTATTCTCAATTTTTTTACCCCTGATTTCTAAAATCAGTTTATTGTATTAGAATATATCAGTCCCGTTCATTTTACCGATTCGAGTTTAAAATTTAAGTTTTGCTACAGTGAAAAGCTTTAAAAAACAGTTATATCTAATATTTTTGTTACAGTAAAAAACTCTCACATGAAGTCACATCTTAACTCAAATTAACGAACAAAACGGGCCCATTGTATTGAAAGAAGGAAAGGAGAAAAAAGAAACTTGAAGTTAGGTCTTAACATGACAGTAATTATATTATTGGAGGGACATGAAAGGGGAAAAGAAGAAGGGAACGCAAGAACGAACACGTACCTTGAGCAAAATTGCATCCGCAGTAGGAATTGTGTCGGAAAACATGTTTCCTCCGATAAAATTCAAGTTGTCATTTCCCTCTAAATTAGCAACGACTTGGGGGAGGTCAAAGACGGTGCATTTGATGTGTGGGAAAGTGCTGGCTATGGCTTTGGCCATGGTTCCGGTGCCACCTCCAACATCGACCAAGGTCGTCAAACCTTCAAACACATCCTTACATTCAGTTAGTGTGAGCTTGGCAATTAGCTGAGAGTCATTAGCCATTGCCTCATTAAAGAGGCGATTTTGGCTCGGCTCATCCGCGAGACAATCCCAAAAGGTCTTTCCTTTTTGATGCTCGAATGTTGAGCCGTCACTGCTCTGTAACCATGTGCTCATGGAATGCCACGGAGCCGCCGCCTCAGGGAGAAGGTGAAAAAGAACAAAGGATTTCATTTTCGTGAAATCTGACCCCTCGCTTAAGAGGAGCCGGGAAGCATTTGTGAGAGAGTATGATTCTTCTTCTTCTTCTTCTTCTTCTTCAACTTGTCGACCGGTTGAAAAGAAACCGGAGTGAACAAGAATGCGCATAATGCGACAAATGCAATGAGTTTTAGAAGGATGGATAGGAAGCGCATTGATGAGTTTGGAAAGAGTAATGGGTTTGCCATGTTTATGGATGATATCTGGTATTCCTAATTCAATGGCGCACTTCACTGTAACATACTTTGCGTAATTTACTGAAGTACTCCACAAAAGAGAGTGGGCTTGAAGCAACTCACTAGAACTCATCACTTCCTCACTAAAAGCCATTTTCTTCTCTCTCTGTTTTTTTATTTTTTTTTCTTAGTAAAAACTTGAGATTAAAAGTTTCAATTCATGTGTAAAGTCCTTTAGTTCTGAATGTGAATTTATAGAAGAAGTTAGATGTCCCCGTCAAGGTGAAAATTCAAAGAAATTACTGTTAAGCAAGGAGGAATGCAACACGGATTTGGAAAAGATATATATGAATGAATTTTAAAGATGTCTCATAAAAAATAAAAAAAAAACCATGTGTATTACGTGATAGATATTAGAATTTGTTATTTGTGCCACACGAATTGACTAGTTAAAGGCCATGAAATCATAGTGAAAATTCAAATCACAAAAATATTGTAACGTAAATCTAAATAGTTGACACGACATCTAGTTTTATCATATTTTTCTTATATTATAGTACGTACGTACGTCCTCATAATCTAACAATTATAGCTTTGGATAGCGGCATTTATTTAAAACAAGTGTTGACTGTAGATTTCTGTCAATTAAAGATTAACTCTTTAAGAACACTCACGATAACTTCTTACGTATTAATTAAGGATTAATGTTGCAAAGAAATGTAAAGAAAGCAAGAAGTTATAGTGGGTCGGCAAGATTTCTTGGCCTAGTCCACTTGTGGATGCACTAATACTTTGTTAATTGCAATCTCTCTGGGGTAGTTGAATAATGTGCAAAAAAACTTAATGAATTCCTGTGGCTCTATTTATACGCCTTGTATACATGAGAGACTTCCTCTTCCGAAATTTTAGTAAATCTCTAAATATATCAATAAAAATTTTTAATTTCAAGTTTTAGTGAAGAAATATACATCAAACTCTTACGAAAAAATTTGTAAGTATCGACAAGATGTATTTTCTTTTGAAATAAAAAAAGATATGAAGTATTAATTAAAACAAATATTCATAGTTTTCACTAATATCGGTATTTTTTAACAATTTTTTTAACATTTGAGATACCGATATTTTTGTAAGTATAAGCATTCTGAAGTTTTATAAATCTTATCAGGGTCAAAATTTTGAATATTCTAACTTAGAGCATCTCCAATACAATACTAAAATTAATGTACCAAGTATAAATTTAGCATATGAGTGTAAAAAATACTTTCTTAACAATACTATCTGTTGCGCTAAATTTTCTATATGCCTACACTTTATAGCAAATTCTAAGTATAACATGTGGTAAACACATGATTCCTATTGATTGATATGGTTACTTTTTTATTTAGGCTTTATTCTTTTCACAACTCACGTCACAAGTCAAGTTATATTGATAGAGTATTTTCTCTCACAAAAATTTAAATTAAACTTTTTTACTACAGTATTTGGCTCTCACATTTACAACTCAAGTTCTTAACTTAAGTTGTGACATAAACACACCCCTAATTATTACAACTTTTGCTCTTCAAATTATTTTAAAATTAAAAGTTTATTTTCACAATTTCCAAAGCTTAATGATTATAAAAAAAAATAGATTTTAACATTTTAAATAACATTTTTGCATTAGAACATAAATAATAATGACATGTCCTGTATCATATTTTTTAGTGTTAAATATACAATTGACATTTCCATTTGTATAAAAAAAAATCTTAGGACAGCGCAAGAGAAAGACAATAGGAAACGTGTAGCTTTCTTGGTTGCTATTTGAAACTGCACTTTTGACTGTTTTACGTCCAAATTTTTTTGATTTTTCTAATACTAAGTGACATTCTTGCTTAACTTTTCAAAGTCACAAATTAGCCCCCATCAGTTACTGTGTTCTACTATAATTAATGCGAAACGTCAAAGCTCCCTTGAAAATAAAACGGAGACAAATATTGTAAATGATGATTACAATTTAAGTACAATGAGAACAAAAATAATATCCTATTGCAAAACATTGACAAAAGAGAGGAATTTTCCAAAAAAAAAAAAGTAATAATAAATGGCTTGTGAGCCTAAAAGAGAATACAAATATTAGATTATACATTGGGTCACGTGTTTTTAATGACGTTTTCTACCGAGATTGTCATCAAATTGACTAATTAAAATAGTTAATCTCATAAAAGATCCTTGAGGTTTACTCTCAATTCCACTTTAGTTCTTGATTTTAAATCGTCTTATATTTAATCTCTGAAGTTTTACTTTATTTCAGTTTCCTTTTTTTTATTAGTTTGGTGTTAAATATTAAACGGAATCTGTGAAATTAGAGAATAAAATTATAAACATATAAAAGTTAAGGACAAAAACAATTCAGAAAAGTAAAAGCTAATTTTCTCTAAGTCATAAAAACTAGATTCCGCTACACCGCATCATATATTCAGAAATATGAAAACAAAATATAAAGTAGTAAGATAAATATTCATAGCTTTCGTAATTTGTCTCAATATTTTCATCGATATAAGTAATTTTTCAATTTTTTCTAAATTTTGAAACATTACTATTTTCACTGATATCTCATTAGCTCAAAGTGAGGTTATTCACTTTTTTGGTGGGTAGCATTAAATTGGTCATAGTCCTCGACTTTTATTTTGTTGATTCATGAATCGGGTCACGGTCAAAATTTTGAATATTCCAACTTTAGTATATTAAAGATTCAAATGGAGACAATAGTACACGCACGTAGCTTTTACGGTTGGTTCTAAAAGCTGCACTTTTAAACAGCTCTGCGGTCAAATATTTTGATTTTTCTGCTCTATGATTTTGGAAGAGAGTCTAATTAATTTCCACGTGTTTTGGGAGTGGTCGGCTGCCCAAATATACACGTCACACATTCATTATCGAAAAATTAAGACTATTATTGTAGAATTATACTCTAGAACTCATTAGTAAGCTACCAAGACAATTCGAGGTGCTTTATCAGATCTATTTATTGAAATCGTAATACTTATTTTCCTTATTGCTCAGTTAGAAGTGATACTCTGATAAAAATTACTCCAAAGGAAATCTTTCTTCAACCATTCAATGACCATACCCATTCGCATTTCGGCATTTGTTTTTGTTTTTGTTATTTTTGTGTTTTTCTAAGAGATACTCATTAACAGTGGCACATTTTCCTTATTGTGCCTTATTAAGAAAACAGTAATTAAAAGTGTTACACGGCCGTTTTTACTAAAACTGTCGTCTAATGTGTATTTTATGGACTTCTGTAGTACTTACAACGACGCTGAATTTAACGACGCGTAAAACCCCTCACCTTATATCTATGACATACAACGACGCCGAATTTAACGACGGTTCTTAAACTGTCATCAAATTTAAAGACGGTTTAACCATTGACTTTGAAGCACGACTTTTCCTAAAGTTAATGTTGGTTGCTACTAAGCAGAACCAGAAAAGTCTTTTAGGAGAAGTGGGAGCGTAATTGAAATAATAAGATAGGACAAATAAAAGAGACGTATAGAACTTTAGGACAACAAAATAAATGTCCCTAGTCCGTGGGTGGCTCTACCTGGCGAGATGAATATCTCTTCATTGATTTTTCTAAATTTGAAATGAGAAGCTAATGCCTTTTAGTAGCTTAGGTAGCAACTATGTCAAGGCAAGACTTCTCCTATTTAGAAAATTAACTTGCTGTTTTGAAAGATCATGTTACGTCCGAGACGATTTTTTCTAATTTGTGTCAGACGTTTTTTTGATAAATTGATAAATTTTAAACTCAAAATGATAAAAATAAATATTATACTTCATTATCAGTTTGCATCATTTAGGAAAAAACATTAAAGATACAAATAGATTAATGAAGATAAAATGACTATTGTGTTGTAGAATAAGTTAAACATTTTTGTTTGTATTACGCCCCTTGAAAAATAATATTTTTGGCTTCGTCATTGCACACACAAACCTTAGCAGTATAAACTTTTTTGTGTTACACTTTTCCGACGTCCGTATGTTATGATGATTTGTGTTATTTCTCAAGACTCTTATTTAAAATTCAAGATCCTAATAAATAAAAAAATCAACTATAATACCATATAAACTTAACATGTTAAACTTAAATAGTAAACTACATTACAAGTTTAGATCAATTAGAAATAAATAAAGATACAAATAGATCAATGAAGGTAAAAAGATTATTGTGTTGTAAAAGAAGTTCAAATTTTTTGTTTGTAATATTCCCCCTGAAAATAATTCTGGCCTCGCCACTATACACACGCACCTCTAGTATTTCTAGCCAGTACAAACTTTTTTTGTGTTACACTTTTACAATATCAGATGTCATGATATGCTTTTTTCTCTCATACACACAGGAGAAAATAGAAAATAAAAAAAAATAAAAAAAAAGAAAAAAGAAAAGAAAAAAAAAACACAAGCATTTACTTCGCCCATGCACACATATTACCACTATAAATTTTTATAATGGCCACCTTCATTTTGTATAATGATGTTCACTTTAGGTCTGAGCCTGCATAAAAATTATGAGATGTTCTTATACTATTAGGAGAACTTTAGGAGATGGTGTCTTTATTCATAAACCACCAATTATAATCATTCTATTAGGAGATGGTGTTTGTTTATAAACCACCATTATAATGATGTTTACACAATTGTTCTTATAGTATTAGGAGATAAGGTCCTTATTTATAAACAACCAATTATAATCATTCTCAAGTATTATGAGACTGCATAATTCACCTTGTTCAAGAGATTGATGAATGACACAAATATATATGCAAATGCCTATGTAATGGTCGAGAAGTTCATAACGCTAAATCTTTAATTTAATTAAATTCTCGTAATTGCACTTTTCGCAAGTAAAATGAATTTTATCTCTCTTTGCGCCTTAGTGCGTCTTGTTTTGTGTCTTTTTTTCCTGTGAACTCTTTTTTATTATTTATTTTAATGATATGCAGGTAAGTGTTAGAGAATGTTGGTTTTTGGAGGGAGTGCCAACTTAATTGGGATGTTCTTAATAAACTTGTGACATTAACAAAAAGTAAAATAAATTTGTGACGTTAATACAAATGAATGATCAAACTAATGATCATATTTTTATTTGAGCCTTTTAATGTGCAGCAGTGCATTAATCGTTAATATGCTTTCAAAGTAATACGGCAATCTATGTGTCACA